TAGGGCCGTGAAGTAGTAGAGAGTAAAATGACCAGCAATAAAAACTGGGTTACTTATTCCTCCTGCCATCAACGATGGTCCTAATAATAAAACTAGGAAGATAAAGGAAATAGGGACGTTAGGAATAAAAACATAAGTTGGAACCGCTTCAAAAAGCACTCTATATAGCAAAGCTTTGGTGTTGAGCCTAAAAGTAGTGTCTAGGCGTTGAAAAAGTTTTTTTTCCTCGTAAGTTTCACCCGAAACCGCCTTAATGTATTCAAGATTATTAATTTTTTCGTAAATTGCTTCATTGTCTTTCTCAATTCTTTTTTTGGCCGCCACCCCTAATTCTGACGATTTGCGAAAAAGAAAAGTCTCGGCGACCAACAAGAGAGCAAATAATGAAAAGAGGATGGCCGCAAAATTTCAGTTAGTTTTTCCGCCTTTCCCAAAATTGAAATCAAAAATTAAGTGGTAAATAACAGTAGTGCTTATGTAAATTAAGCGGTTGGGAAGAAACCAAATGTGGTCGGCAATCGCATCCAAGTCATTAGCAAACTGAGTAATAAGATTAGCCCCTACCATTGCTCCTTGGGGAAAATTAGCTCGGATAAAATGGCGAAATAAGTCTTTTTTCAGTTTGAGGGCAAGGAAACTATAACAGTATCACATGACAAAGAAATGTAAGGAAGAAAAGAACGACCGAAGCAGAAAACTGGCCAGCAAATACAATATCAGATAATTTCTAACATTTAAATTTCCAACGCTAATTTTTAATTTTTCTCCCAAGAAAATAAATTTAAATTCAAAAGGGCGGTTGAAAATTGAAACTCAATTGCCTTCCCCTTCTCTCAGCGATGTAAACTGGTTCTTAAAGTTAACTCCCAAGTTGTAATTAATTAGAGACACCAAATATGCCAGCCCAGCACAAACAAGAAAAAATTTTCACTCTTCCCTAATAATATTTCTGGTTAGAATTGCCAATAATCTTAATCTATTTTTTTCTTTGGTGTGGAGAAACGATTTAGTGAATACAGTTGAGGCAAACATATTTTTACAATTTATAATATAACATAACAATAAGGAAAAAGGGTGTTAATATATTACCGATGAATGATGATAAAAATAACAGAGAGAGGGAGAGAGAGAAATAATATTAAGTGGACTTATATTGCCAAAATTGCCAAAAAGAAATGGTAAACGAGAGGATAATTTTCGGAAAAATCCGGGTCTGCTTGGTAACAACTGACACGAGAAAAGTGGATGGATTTGATTGGTAGTAATCATTATCATCACGTTAGTAGTGGTAATCGGTATTTCATTCCTTTTGGGAAAAAATGAGGTGGTTTTCAGACGTCAATTTATTACTGAATTGGAAAGAGATATGGGAGTTAATCGTTGTGATTTGAACGAATATTTTATAATTCACACAACTTCTGATTTAGAAGGGATACAAAGGATAGTGATAGATGGCGAAATTACAGATAACATCAGAGCCAGAATTAAAGATACTCTAATTATTGATTTCAACAAAGCCATTAAGAAGGACAAGGCTGCCTGGGAACAAAAAAAAGTTTTGGTTTTTGAACTTAAAAGTGACAAACTATTACCTTACATTGTTTTTAAAAAAAACCATAATTTTTATGATAATGAATTAAATAAATTCTCTGAAACATTTTATTTTAATCGTAGTTTTGTTAATACTTACTGTGAATTTAACACCAAGGAAGAAGTTATAAAATTTCTCAAAGAAAAAGATAGTTATTTCCGCTAATTTAAAAAAATTTTTCTCGTTAGGAGTAAATTTCAATACTAATTGGGACTCAACAAAAATTAATTTTCTACTCTTGACTGCTGTCGACCGAATAATAATTACTAATCCCTTGACAAAACTAGCCAAGATAAAATAATTCCGCAACTAGTAGCCACATTCAAGGAAGGAACATTATTGCTAACCGGGATAAAAAGATAGTGATCACTTTTTTGTAGAAGAGACTTTTTTATTCCATCGTGTTCGTTACCAAAAATCAGGCAGATCGGAGAGTTAATTAGAAATTTGTGACATTCTATTACTTTTTTGTTAGTAGAAAGAAAGCTGGGGGTGGTGGTAGCCACAATTTTATAGCCTCTTTTTTTTAATTCATTAACCGCTTCCCCCAAACTGCTTATTCGGTAAATCGGCACGTGGGCTATACCACCGGCCGAAACCTTAATTACAGTGCTGTTGACCGGAACTTGGTTGTGGCTGGCAATAATTATTCCGTCAATTGCCAGAGCCGCACTAGTTCGCAAAATGGCCCCAAAATTATGCGGATCTTCAATACTATCGAGCATAACTAATAAGGGATACTTCCGCAGCGGATTTATCTGTCACAACCGAGAGAGGGGGCAATAATCGTAGTCATGTAATAAAGCCACTATACCTTGACTTTTTCTGGCAAAACTGGCTCGTTCAAAATTATTCTTGGTTAATAACTGATAATTCACTCTTTTTTCGGCCAGTAATTGCCCCAATACTTTGTCATTCTGATATTTGTCCTGGATTATGATTTTTTTTAAGCGAAAATAAGGAGATTGTAAAATACTTATTACCGGATAATAACCAAAGGCCACCAAAGTCATACCTCTACTTTTTTATTATTGTGATTTTTAGGGAACGGTGGTAAATCTAAGAACAGTTAACTGATTAATAATTTAAATTTTAAAATAACAAGATTTCAAAAATTTGTAACTCTTAGCAGATTTAGTTTTGTGAATGAAAAACTCATTCAGCGTGAATAAAAAAATCAATGATAGGAAACGAAAAACAAAAATTTCTCATAATAGATGGTAATAACTTACTTTATTCCTCTTATTATGCTTTTCAAAAATTGCCGTGGCAAATGGCTCACGGGGCAGTTTTTTTCTTTTTGCGTGTAATGATTAGTTTGCTCAGAAAAAACACTTATCAGAAATTACTGCTAGTTTTTGATGGGGGCGGAGTTAATTTTCGCAAGTCGCTCTTGCCTCAGTATAAGGCCCAGCGAGAAAGCATGCCGGAAGAATTATGAATGCAAATGGAAATTCTCAAAGAATTACTTACCAAAACCAGTATCACTTATGTTCAGTTAGTCGACTGGGAGGCTGACGATATAATCGCTTCTTTTGTGGCTCAAAATACCCAAAAATCGGACTTAACTTTTGATATTTTTACACGAGATAAGGATTTATTGCAATTACTAAGTCAGAATACTAATATTTTGAAATACATAAAAGAAAAAATTACCCTTTATACTCAGCAGAATTTTTATCAAGAACATGATTTCCCCCCCAGTAGTTATGTGGATTATTTAAGTTTGCTTGGCGATAATGTTGACAATATTGAGGGAGTAAGAGGGATTGGTCCAGTGAGCGCCAAGAAATTAATAAAGCAATTTCACACCGTCGAAAATGTTTATCAAAACACTGAGGATTTACCTGATAATATTAAGAATTTGTTAATTGATAAAGAAGAGTTAGTTTTTCGCAATAAGAAAGTCATTAGTTTGGAAAAGAAAGTTCTCCTTCCTTCCCTAAATTATGATTTTGATTGAGAAAAATGAAGAAATGACCCCACCTTGCGAAAATTTTGTGTTGACTGTGGATTTCGGAGCATTCTCAAACTGCTTGACTAAAAATAAAGCGATCAAAGATTAGTATCTAAATCATCCTCCGGAATTATTTTCTTTCGTTTAAAAGAAAAATTTCGAGTCTGTTATATTGTTCTTCCACCCATTTTATTTCGTTGTTTTTCTTGCGAAGTTCGTCATGCTTTCACCTGCTTTTTGACCAACTTTACCTATAAAATCTAAAAATCCCATGTTATTTTAAAGAATTTTTTTAAGAAGTGTGTTGATTTTTCTTCTATTACCTATAAAAACTAACGTAATTTTAACCTTTTTTATTCTAAGGAAGGTTCCGGACCATTAGATTCTTTAAGTGCTTTATAAACCC